GTGTCTTCCTAAGAAAAACTATAGCTTTGGCCCATTTTTAATTCCATGAGGGGTTTTTGACAAGAAAGGGGAGAAGGAGGACATGTTCCACATGGTGACTATGATGATACTGGGCAGCACCATTACACAGGATTAAGCAGCTGAGTTAACAAAAGGGAAATGTTTTCGGTGTTTTCCCTGTGAAATGGAGCAGAAAAGTTCATTTCTAGAGATTTGCACTCTTGTGATTAGGAGGTAGAAGTGGCAGAGCCACCAAATGTTGCAGCCATACAAGGTTTACTGGCATCCCCCCCACCTCTGCAAGCCACCAAAAGGTTCACACAGTGTGCATTCAACAATTTATTCTGTCCCTTTCCATGTTTGTTTGAAGAGGTGTTGGTAGTCTTGAATACCCTGCCAATGCCAGTATGGTCTAGCTAGAGGCCCGTTTGGCTTGAATTTTTAAGATTTGTAAGATGGCGACTACCTTTTGAGAAACATGTTTCAATAGTACATAAATATAATTTAATTTTACAAAAATAATACAATTAGTAAAATTAGCCATAATAAAAAATAGTGATTGTGTCTGCGTATCTGCTATGGTGCTGGAACTGGAGCAAGTTTCCACTGGATGGTATGGGAAGAGTTGGCCAAATTTGCATTCTGAGATTGGGAATGATGGAAGAAGAAGCACAGATCCAGAGAATGTATGAACGAGAAGCAGGAAGATCCTTGCACTGAAGGTCTCAGGTTCAGCTTCTGGAGGAGGGGGAGGGAGCGGCTGGCTCATGCTCTCAGAACTACGTTGACCCAGGTGCCTCTCCAGACTCTGGGGTGGATCCCGACTTACAATCTAAGGCCTCTAACCCAAATTCACACATACACATATTTAGGGCCAATTTTGATAGGAGCCAATTAACTCACCAGCATGTCTTCGGAGTGTGGGAGGAAACCCATGCAGGCTTCAGGAGAACTTGCAAACTCTGTGCAGGTAGTGCCATGGTTGGGATTTGAACCAACAATTGTAGTGCTGCTAGATGGAAGTTCTAACCACTTAGCCACTCTGCTAAATGAACCCCTTTGTAAAACAAATCACTAAAAGCCTGTGTAGATAACAAATATTTAACTTTCAGTTAATCCCATTTAAATTCCAGGTAACTTTAAGTAATAAAAGGAACTTCTGAAGGCTTCTTTGAAGTTTGCTAATCGTCAGGCAATAGAAAACAAAATACAAAATAGAAAATTCGGCAAGCGGTAAATGAGGTCAGTTACTCCCCTGAACTCAAAGTATGAAAATGCAAAAGAGGTTATCAGACAAATTAGAAAATGGAAAGTTAAAGGGTAAATGAGGACATATATGACCAAAAACATTTTTTTCTTACTAAACATATTGCTGGAGATGGACACACAAGTAATTCAGTAAATTTGTATTTTCAGAAAAATAATGTAACCTTGGTACAGTAGCTTCCATGTATCACCCATGACAAGGGAAATCAAGAGAGGGAAAAGGAATGGTGGGTATAGAGGCCAAGGAAGAAGGACCTTCCATGGCTGCATCTTCAAATGTTAAACCAAACTGTCAATGAATGTCTCTGCCAAACCGTCTCTGAAGACCAGAAAAAATGGAACATTCAACAAGAGGTCTGGGACATGTGCCTGGATGCCAGGGTCTACCAACACCACGGAGAGTCTGACCCACCCACACAAATAAGACCAGGAATCTCTATGAGATTTTTTTTCCCAAATTATTAACAATTTATTCTCTACGTTGCCATTTCCTGCCAGTTAAAAGGAAAACATCTATGGTCACAAAGCGGTGAAAATTCGCCCAGCTATTAAAAATTTCAGATAGAAAAACTTCACAATCCAGGAGGACAGTCTGTTCTGTTATATGTAGGGAGAAGTTGCTGGTCCAGTCCAAATGTTCAAACCGAATTTTGATTGTCTGAAGGTTTGGTGAAGTGACAAACTAAATGGGTGTTCGGTTGGGCCAAACCCCCAACTGTAGCGGGAAGTAAAACATTTAGCAGTAGGAAGGTGTCTCCTTTATATTAGTGATACCGCTGCTAAATGAGACAGATTCCTGCTCAGGTTGGTTGTTGGAGCCGGCGGTCACCAGCGTTCTAGCAGCCATGTCTCATTCCTTTTTGGACAAAGTGTGGAGATTTGTGGAAAAAAGTAAATGGGTTCTTCCCAAAAATCATACCAGTTCATTTAGATTTGGTATGAATTTTAATAGGGAACCCCATGCAAAAAACAAAAAAAGCATGGAATCCCCCCAAAATCTATACTAGACATTTGAGTATGCAGCATGGAAGGCCAGGAAAAGGAGGAGACAAGATCAAGGCAGAACTCTGAACTGTGCAAGGCCCTATGCCCTCAACATGGGGGGTACCTTGGCAAGGGGACACCCCTGGCAACCACCTTGTTCCTATGCTGTTTAGGGCAAAGGTGCCTTTCCCAAAGCTCTGGGGGTTGTGGGATCTGAGGGTAGGGAGCTTATTAAAATATGAAAACCCCATTAAAAATAAAAAGGACCCAGATATCTCTCTCCATACGGATGACTAAGGGGATGATAGGACTCCTACTTATTTATATAAAAATATATGCATAGTAGCTAAACAAAATATTTAACAAGTTTTTAAGTCAAAAAATAAAAAACACCAAAAAAGTCAAAAGATGTAAATCTATCTTCAGTCCCATTGTCCATAGATGCAGATCTTAGTCAATCATGTTGAACAACTCTTGTCAACCCATTGACGCGTTGAAAGAAACAATTCACCGACTCACCAAATATGTCTGACCAAGTTACCAATTTGCAGCAAATGACAGCTTCTGGTCCCTTCTGCTAAATGTAAGCAAAGGGGCGGGGTCTCTCGGGTGAAGTCATTCACAATGAACGAGGATCTGCATTGCTGGACAATGTGATCATCAAGGGAGTTGCATTGTAGGACATTTTTGGTTTTTTATTTATTTTTTACAAGTGTGTTTAATAATTTTTTTTTTTTTAATTTGTACCCCTTACACATCACATGGGGGGTATCCAGTGTCTAGGTCACCTGTATATTTAAGGATGGCTTCCAAATTCTTTTAAACCCCCTGCCAATGGTCCCCCCCAACCACCAGGCTGGGGTTGTGGGAAACAGGCATCAGCATGAGACAAGGTGCTTTTCTGGGGGGGCAACCCTTGAAAGGTGCCTTTCCCATGTTGAGGGCATGTGACCTGGTTTGGTTCAAGTGGTGTGTTCACCCCGTATTTCCTGGCCAGCCATGCTGCATGCTCTGATAAGGGTCTACTACAGATTTTGGGGGGGTTCCTGCATGTATTTTGCATGGTGTTCTCCCTTAAAATCCATACCACACTCAAAGGGTCTGATATAGAACTTGGGTGGCACACAGTGAAAGACAATGAACACGCTTACTGGATGGGAAAGCACACAGATTAAATCAGCATACTGCTGCTCTTTCAATGCCCAATCACTGGCGTGGGGGGAGGAGAAGGTAAAATTAGGCAGATATTTTTGCCTATATGCTGCCATCCCAAGGATGAGTACCGTAGCCATGATTCCGTGTGGAAGGTGGGAGTTGATCTGTGCTTGCGGTAACAAGAGTAACTACTACCAGCATTGCAAAGACTAACATTTATAATGGAAATTTAATTTACATACTAAGTATTCTTTAAAAAAATAAAAAAATATATATATATACTGTATATCTTTTTTCTGCCCGGCCTAAAGACAAATGACGGCAATACACACGTCGTTATGTGTGGATGTTATATTATGTCCTCCACAGAACGTGGCTTGTGCTCGTCCCATGGGCCACACTGCGGCGTGATCTGTCCCCGCTGTTTCCACCAGACATAGCAGGTGACCAATCAGTGTACCAGCTGCTGTTGGTACTATGTGACCGCTGTTAGCAATCATAGCAGATCACATGACAATAGTACACAATGAATGGCGTTCATTCGTGCTGATTGTGCTTATGTGTCACAGTGATCACAAGGTACAGAGAGGGCAAATCACAACCCACCTGTACCATGTGATTAGCTGTGAACACTCACAGCTAACAACAATAGTAAATACTGAATGTATCCATTTCGCTCGGTAAAACTGGTTGCTTATAACAGTGAAATTCACTAGTATAAGCAATCATAGTGTGTAAAAAAAATATTGCTCTGGTTACAGTATTGTTTAAGAAGGAAGGGAGAAAGGGAAAAGAAGTCACGATTGAGATTTCTTTGTAAAGTCACAAAACACAAACATAGGAGGAGGATGAGAGATGATGGGGGGGGGGGGTAGGTAGGATATAAAAGGCCTGTTGGATCTAAGAACTCTCTTGGATAAACCTAGGTGGACCAAACAGTATTTTTAAACTAGGAATTATCTTAATTTCTTTCTGTTCCTTTTTAAAGAGGAAATAAAAGTGTCATTAGGAAAAAAGAGTTTGGGGGTTCTTGAGAATGCGCCTTCTTACATGTCCTCCTTCCTATGTCATGTCTTGTTTTTATTCAATGTTTCCTTGTACATGTATGAATGATATGCAATGTATTTGAAATAATAAAAAAAAGAAGTTAAAAACAAAAAAGAAAAGAAAAGAATGTGTCCAGGGCATCAAGATTACAATGACCATTGGTCTGAATAGGTTGGGTACAGCTATGAACAATGGACATTTTTTCCATTTATGAAAGACATTACTAAAATCATTAATCATCTAAAAATTTCCTAGAATAATATAAGTGTCAATATTCACAATTTTAGTTTCAGCAGCAAACCTGAATTAATTTTAGGTGATAATAAGTCCTCAGAAGTGCCTCCATGAGATCTTTGTTCCTCAGGCTGTAGATCAGAGGATTCAGCAATGGATTAATGAGGGCAGATATGACTGTAAATAGTTTGTTTAAAATTAACATATTGCTGGAAGTCGGAACCAAGTAAATAAAAATTAAGGAGCCATAAAAGATGGAGACCACGGTGAGGTGTGAGGTGCAGGTGGAGAACGCTTTCCTCTTTCCAGTCTTGCTACGGATTCTGAGGATGGTACTGAAAATATAGACATATGGAAGAAAGGTCATAAGAAAGGCTCCTAATGCAAAAGTAGCACCTGATAAGAAATACGACCACCATGTTTATGAAGGGGTCAGTACATGTAATCTGATACAAGTGTGGAAGGTTACAAAAGAAGTTGTGGATGGAAGATGTTCTGCAGAAGGACAACCTGAGCAAAAATAAAGTATGAGCCAAAGAAACAGAACATCCTGCAACCCAGACCATGGAGGCCATACGAGCACAGACCCTCCAAGACATCATTAGTTTGTAGTGTAGGGGGTGGCAGACGGCAATGTAGCGGTCGTAGGACATAGCCGAGAGCAATAAAAGTTCTGAGTCAGCAAAGGAGAGGTAGAAAAAGACTTGGGCTGTACAGGCAGGAATGGATATTGATTGGCTTTTTGAGACCAAATCATAGAGCATCCTCGGTGCGGTCACTGATGAATAAGAGTCATCAGATAGATCAGAAGGAAGACCACAAAAAGTGCATTCATGGTCAGTGGATGGTCTGATAGACCTACGAGGGTAAAAGAGGAAATCTCTGTCTGATTCCTCATATTATTCATTTGTTTTGTCTGTTTACATGTATTACTATAGAGCAGAGATATAAATTATCCATTTAAACAATCAAAACAATAACCATTCTGAAGAATTATTAAAAGGAGAACATGTACGGAGTACCTACACAATATTCTCAGGTTTTACATGAAGACATTTGTACCGCTAATG